TCGGACAATTCGTAAAACCGACATGGTCCTCTTCGGCCAACCCCGACTTCAACAACAGACTTCGGACCTCGCAAACTGACGCCAACACTCAAATTCATAGCTCAGAATTAACCTCAGGCGGTCTACCTTAATCCCGGACCGACGTCACCACGGTCGGAACCGACGTTACAACAATCCAGGCCTGACTTCTTTTCCTTGGCTTCAAGCTATACCGACATCACAAATCGGTTTTCACGACGCAGCTCGGGTTGACTTCAGACCTCCGAATAGCAGCCGACCTTACATAGGCTGACTTCTACCATTGCAATGGATCCAACTTCGCTTGGACCAGACCTCGAAACACGAAGTCGGTTGTCAGGAATCGACTACGTCACCTTGACGACCGACTTCTCAATTCATTGACCGCCAAAGTCTGACCATATTATACTGTCAGGCCGACTTCAACTATATACGGACTCGACCTCGTGACTTTGAAGTTGGCCGACACCAACATAACCGACTCCACAGCCGGATCCCAAATCTTGATATTGGGACCCCCGAGCAGCCACCATGTTCCCGACTTCTTGATCGTCGGGACCGACCTCGCTTTGTCTAAAATCAAAGTCCGACCTTAGCCGTTGGGGCCAAGAATTCCACGACAGAACCGAAAAGCTTGACCTCGTTACCACGGCGCAACTCGGATATTGTACGGATACTGGAAATCATAGTCGGACCGATGTCACCCTCCCTAACCGACTTTGGCAACCGACGTCACGCCGCAAGATCAGAAATCCGAAATGGAAGCCGGACCGACTTCACAACAGTTCATCACTGGGTTCCGAACTTCTCAGTTATCGGGCCTGGATTTGCATCTTCAAACCAGACAACCGATCTCAGAATCACCAACCTCAATCAATAAATCCCGACATTATTGTCGGGCCGATCTCAACGACACTGAGCTTGATGTCTTCATATATTCTTGATCTCGTTTTGCCCAAATCCGGACATTCATCTTCGGCCGTGATAGAATTCATTACAAACCGACATCGCAGTAAGCGACTATCGAACACGACCAATTTCACTTCCCCAACATGCTGCTTGGACCGACCTCGGCACCTTTAAGTCCAACTTCAAATTTGGCCCCGAATTCGGTCAGAACCGATCTCAACATAACGGGCCGACATCACCGGACCCGACATCTCAGCAGACCAAGATCCGATCTCGACCTTCGACGTCGTCGCCAGACTCTCTCTCTCTCCGATTTCATCGCCAGCCGACATCACGGACTTAATTGCGACCAATTTTCATTTCTGCCATCACCAGATCTCAGTACAATTCGAGCCCCCGACTTGCCGTAAGAACGATTATACTGTTAAGCCAAATTTATTCCTTCGTACTATTTATATGCCGATAGGATTTCTTTCAAGAGAAGGAACAGATTTGTATGTTAATATCCAGTGATTGACCGGCAATTGAAAGATGAGATTTGACAAGAAAGAGAAACGTACCCAACCGAAGTACTTACCTATCTGTACTGCAAAGATGCGTGTACTCCACTTGAATTTATCTGTACTGCACGCATTTGATACACAAAATAAACGAAGAAAGCCGGGGCGCCGAGTTTTATTCGGGCTGCTATCAGTTGGGCCGATTATATTCAATCAGAGCAATGATAGTCGGGGCTGGGTTCATTTATCAACGTCGGGGCCGAATTTTATTCAAACCGATGCGCAAGGATCGAATTTATTTATCACTACCGGGGTCGGATTCTCTTACCTACGACGAGGATGAATTCGTCTATAGATACCAGAGCTGAATTCACTTATTTATGGCGGAGTCGGGTCCATTTATCAATACCGAGGCCAAGATTATTCATTCAAACAGACCAACGTCGGACTGACTTCATTAATCACTGGTGGGGTCAAGTTTACTTATCAATGGAGGAACCAAGTTCACTCGCTCATACTGACAATAACCGGGGCCGAATACAGTCATCAACGCTGGGGCCTAATTCTGTTATGCCGCCACCGGTCATTTATCTTCGACGTCTCTATATCCGCTCGCCGTTGAGCCTCGACTCCAGCTGAGCCGACGTCTCTATATCCGCTCGTCGTTGAGCCTCGACTCCGGCTGAGCCGACGTCTCTATATCCGCTCACCGTTGAGCCTCGACTCCGGCTGAGCCGACGTCTCTATATCCGCTCGCCGTTGAGCCTCGACTCCGGCTGAGCCGACGTCTCCATATCCGCTCGCCGTTGAGCCTCGAATCCGG